ATCATACCTAATTAATCTTTTCGAAATAAGAACGCATTTTGAAATTTCGGTTGGCATTTCATGAGTTAGGTTAGGAAAAGTAAGAGATCCGGATCGGTAATCTGAGGAAAATGAATTGCTCACCGGATAGGGGGGACTTTTCTGGCTGACGTATCAAAGAGCTGGGGCTGCTCTCCATTTTCAAAGCGTCTATTCGAAAATTCTGATCGATTTTTTCACTAGACGCTTTGACAATGGAGAGCTACCCCAACTCTTCGATACGTCAGCCAGAAAAGTCCCCCTATCCGGTGAGCAATTCCTTTTTTCTCAGATTTCATGAGTTAGCCCACCTGCTGTATAATCAACATATTCAGATGAAGACAATAACCTCACTCGCACCTGGTTTGGGCTCTCTCTCCCTCTCTCTCCCCCGGCTGACCAGTTGGCGGTGAAGCACGGTATTACTGGTCCAGCTTTCAACTTTCACAGTTTCCCTTGTGTCGCCTCCTTCGCTCGGCTTCAAAGTCACGAATGATGAAGATTGTTCAAACTATAACTTCTTTCCATCATCAGGTAGCACATCGGAATCATCCAGTCTTCATGCCCACCTCATTCGTTCGCCTCAGTCCAGCATAGTGATCACTAGCTGGTATCAAATCATCTCTGGTGCCAATGGCCCTTGCTGCATCTCCGCCTGTTCCTTCGCCTCCAAACAGAGCAAACGGGCAAAATCGGTTGTCTCGAAGGTCAGTACAGCTGATCTGCCTGACAACTCTAGCCCCAGTCCCAGCTTTTACGTCTGTAGCAACTGGAATTAAAGACGGTTCTTTGCTGATAGCGATGTGCAGTTCAGCTTCATCAGCAGCCGACCGTTGGCAGGGTTCGTTAACGGCATTTTGCATTTCAGACCAAACCCCCAGCCTACTTAGCCGTGAGAAACTCCGGCCTTTTGTCGAGAGAAGGGACTTCACCATATTTACGGGTCACTGGCCCCTTTTCCTAGCTCTCCAGTTCTAATCCGATAAACTCCGCACCCTAGATCTGTCAACTGAACAACATGCTCAAGATATAACTTCTCTTCAACATCAGACAGTTCGCCGGAATCATCCAGTCTTCAGGCCCGCTTGGTTTGCTTGCCTCCGTGCAGCATAGTGACCACTTACCGGTATCATATCATCTCTGGTACCAATGGCTGCTGCTGCATCTCCCCCTGCTCTTTCGCCTCCAAACAGAGCTAACGGGTGAAACTGGTTGTCTCTAAGGTTAGTGCGGCAAGCGTATGGTATGTAATCCTCCCTGGGGGAAACCGTAGTTGGCTACACACCATGTTCATGTCAGCAATGGTGAATTTCTGATCCGTAGGCTTTTAAGAAGTCTCGGACATAACCGTAACCCTAAGCTAAACCCTAAAACCCTAACTCTAGCCTCAGCCCTAAGTCCAAATCATAGCCTAAGCTTGGCAGCCCTAGTCCCAAGAATAACCCAACTAACACCAATTCTTACCGTTGCCAAAATCCTAATCTTGGGCCCAAAACAGGCAAATTTAATGTCAGCAACGCTATATGAGGTCGAAATCCTCATCCTTCATAGTCCCTTTCGCGACCTACTGCCACGTAAACCGTCATAGAGCCCACCTAATCAAGATAAGAAGGTGGGCTTTTGACGGACTATCCGAGTGGATTACATACCCTACCCTTAGCGTTGGTGCAGCTAGTCTTCCTGACGACTCTAGCCCCGGTCTCATGTTTTACGTTTGCAACAACCGGAATGGCAGCTGGTTCCTTGTTGATATTGATAATCCGTTCACTGTCATCTTTCCATCAGCAGCTGACTGTCGGCACGTATGTTAAGCAGCATTTTACAGGTCAGACCAAACCCCTAGCTCACTTCTCCAGAAAGTAATCACCTACTCACTTGGACCGGAGTATGATTGACCATGAAAAACTTTGGCACTTTCTTGGGGGAAGGGGCTCCACCATGTTTACGGATCACTAGCCCCTTTTCCTAGCTCTTCAGTTCTACTCCGACAGATGCCCCTCACGAGATATGTCGACGCAACTTCATCTCCCAGTTCACCTCTGATATCCAACATGTTGACGTACTGAGGTGACTGACGCGCAGTCCAGGCCCTCTATTGCCCATCTTCAGCTCTATCTCGGGATCGACCCTGTAGTGGGCAGCCATCATGAGCGGTCTGGCGTCATTGTTCAAGACCTCGCTGCCTCAGGTTCATGCACCCTTTTGCAGTGAGCCGTTCCAAACGCGCTGACCTGAAGTCACACGACCGACAGCTCTCGGGCATACCTGCGTCCGCACAACGGCAGCTGCCCATGCGGCCACTTGGACGCACCGCCCCCCTGCAACCACAACCTAAGCCACTGGGACATCACCCCTCGGCAAATGAAACACACGTTGACTTGACACCACTTGAGCTTGGCCCAAGAGCCTACAACAGCGGCTGCCACCACTGTCCCAGGGACTCTCAGGCATGACTGGACGCGGCCAACGCCAGCCCTGGCGTCGCCAGTGACCACTGCCGCCTGAGAGGACAACTCTGGCTTATGCGCACAATAAACCCCTCATTCTGGTGCTTTTCGTCTTCTCCCTACAAATTGGGATCTGACCCGACGATGGTAGCTCACAGACAGGGACACACTCACACAGCTTGGTCACAAGAACCTCACTGCGATCGTTGCCGAACAACGCTCCGTCAGTTCTCCTCGTGGTAAAGGCGTTTCCTGGGGTTCATCTCCAAGAGCTGCCTATGATTGTTGGCACCGGAACCATTCTCTGCAGCGTCCCAAACCCCTCCCGCCGCCCTTTTGTGCCGCCAATTCCTCAGCCGCAAAGTCTTCTCCCCCCCCCTCTCCCCCACAACCTCTCCCCATGGGATTCTAGCTACTGGCAAGTTGGTTTCAGACTGCTTAGTTTGGCCAGGGTTCCCAAAAACTTGAAGGCCTGGACACACACTACGTGATGACAGACACTGATATGAAAATCTTTAGACGCCTTAACCGTTGTTCGTTTTGCTCACCCGTTCAGCCCCTTGAAGTAAGTATCCTTTGCTTGTTCAGAAAGTGTGTTCACGTAATTTTATTAAGCAAAATGTTCATCAATTTCAGCGAAAATAGACGTTGCGATACATCTAGGCAATTTCCTATGCTAACACCTGTCCTAAATAATGATTGCGATTCTAACCATGTTTTTCTTTGGAGTGATAATAATTAATCCTCGAGAGTTCTGTTAAACAGCCAACGCAATGCAGCATTAAAAAACTCCTTAAGAAGGTAACTTATGAGAGGATGTATTCTAGTTGACCGAAAGCATATTCATTGTTGACTTTTGTTCTGGTCGTTCATTTTTTTCGACAACGAGTTTTCGTGATTGGGTGAGTCTTCGTATGTGACGCCAACGATCAACTACATGAAAAAGAACGCCCACACACTCGCTAATTCGGTATTTGCCTTCAAGAAGTATCTTAAGCTGAAGGTTTCAATAAACGCATAATACGGAATCTGTCTTTATGTGCAGTTGATTGAGAAAACTGAAAATTGCGAAATATTTTACGATATTTCAAAGTCGATCTGGAACTTAACTCAATCCAGAACAAAGGGAAACTGTAAATTAAGTTAATGTAAGAAGAGTTCTCGTCACATACACAAAATGGTATGCGTTTCGACCGTCCTGGAAACATGTGACCTTACAAAACTTCTATTCCTATGACGTTCCTATCGCCGAAATCAAGCAAAATCCTGTTTTCTTTACTGAAAGGCGTTCGCCTACTTTTCCCTTAATAAATCTGATCTGATCTGATCTGATCTGATCTGAATTGAACCACATGTCAACCAATGAAAAAGGCGTAGAAAATTTAACGAATTCTCGGGAAGCTGTTTTGAAATTTATACGCATAATGTAGGCTATTTGCAAATTGCCATACCTGGCATTACACTTGTTCTTAGAAGACATTTAAAAGTAACCTTCCCTAAATACTTATTGTGAAGCGTTATTCCATTTGCGCTATCACTTTTATTCACTTTTTTGCATGGATAGACATTTTGTACACGTAAAATTAAAATTTATTCAATTACAATCATTGCTGACGCTTTTCTGAAAAATGGTATTTCTAAACAGCGTAATACCGTCTTAAATATTGCTTTTTTACGTTTTTGATTCCACGAAAGTTGTTATTTATCAAGACACAGATACCGGGCCCATGTATTTGCGTCGGTTTGCGAGTGATTAGCAATTATTCGTAAATTTCCACGTCTTTCATCAAACAGATTACCTACTGAATAAGTGTCCAGACCGTCGGCGTAGCAAGGTCTAGGAGCAAAATGTCTCCCATCAGTATTTCCCCAGTGAAAAGTTCAGGTACACCTCTACTCAATAGCTCTTCTTACCTTCTCCAAAACGAAACGTCAGGCTAAGAAAGCTCTTGTCCCAGCGCTCGCGTCCCCTTCTACAAGCTTACTTCCTTAAGCTCGTCTCTTCGCCTCTATTGACAATGTATTTGGGTGCGATGCGCGCCGATCGGCCCGGCGATGGGAAACCTTCGCCCTTCAGGAGGCCTCTACGTATTCGCAGATCCGGTTTCTGCACTGGTGTCTCGACAATAATATGTTACCGAAATTTGTTTCATACAAGCCCCGGTTAACACGGATTTGGCGAGACGGGCAGTATTTCATCATGGGAGAAGGATGATCCGAGTCGTCCTCCAAGATGGCCACGCAAGACTTCACAGGTATCGTCGAAGGATTGACCAAGTAAAAACCAGATGCTGTGAGTTCATGGGCAAGATCGGTACAAATCAGTTTCTGCAAAGAGTGACTGAACAAGCCCGCCAACAGAGAGTGATACGCAATGCAGCACTGGGGAACAAATTCCGAAAGCTGCCCAATCCAACGTCGCCCAGAAACGACAAACAGGTGCACAACCTGTCGTCAAATTAGCTGACGAAGGATCAGATGCAGGTTTTACGGCACGAAGCTTCATTCAACACGACTGACGCCAAACCTTTTAACATGATTGCAGCAGTGGAATCAATCCTTTGTCAGACGGAGGCAATGGAGGTGACTAAGAGTCTCATCCGACACCAAGTGTCGTCTCTCCTGATGGCCCACAGGCCGCGGGAAGTGCTTTCTAAGGTCGAACGTGATGCGCTTAGAGAACTCAAGGCCGACAAAGACCTGGTCATCGTGCCAGCGGACAAAGGGCGCGCCACGGTTGTCCTGGACAGGACAGATTACCTTCAAAAAGCCAAAGGTTTACTGGAGGACCGACAGTTCTATGTCCCATGTGCAACGAACCCTGCAAAAGCGCTGACACGCAAAATTAACGCTACGTTGTTGGCTTTGGAGGACTCAGCTGCAATAACACCGACCGACAGACGCATGGCGAGACCCCAAGATATGGCTTTGGCCTCCCTATGGTGCACAAAAACGGTGCTCCTCTCCGACCCATCGTGTCCCTCAAAGGTACTCCAACGTACGGACTGGTTAAGTGACTTTTCCGGCCTCCCTATGGTGCACAAAAACGGCGCTCCTCTCCGACCCATCGTGTCCGTCAAAGGTACTCCAACGTACGGACTGGCTAAGGGACTTTTCCGGCGTCTCAAGTTCCTGACCGCTGAGTCAGACACCACGGTCTCTTCGTCAGCACAATTCCTGGAGAAACTCAAAGGGGTAAGCCTCCATCCAAATGAGGTCATGGTATCTTTTGATTTTACATTCCTGTTTACTTCTATTCCCCAGGACCTGGCGATCGAGACAATCGAGCTGCTTCTACAAAGCAAATACAATGAAACGGAGAATCGTCTTGGACACGCCCAAGTCCTTCAGCTCCTGAAGCTCTGTCTCAGGACGTACTTCACGTTCGACGGGACAATCTACGAACAGGTGAAGGGCACACCGATGGGTTCGCCGATTTCGGGGTTCCTCGCCGAGGCGGTCCTGCATCGGTTAGAGTCACTGGTCTTCGAACATCCAAGACCGACGTTCTGGGCACGGTATGTGGATGATACTCTCGTCATCATCGAACGGGATTAGGTGCTGACATTCAAAACAACATCTCAACGCCGTCTTCCCGGACATTCAATTTACGATGGAGGAGGAAGAGAACAACCAGCTGGACTTCCTGGATGTCCTCGTATGCCGCAAATAGTGTAGTGGACTAAAGACTAAAGTGTTCAGGAAAGCGACAAATACGATGCAAGTACTGAACTTCAACAGCAACCACCCAATCAGCCACAAACGCAGTTGTGTAAGGACGCTCTATCGGCGTGTTGAAACGCACTGCAGTGAGCCGGAAGACAAAATTGCCGAACTACAATACCTCTGACGGGTCTTCAAAGTCAATGGCTACCCTCGCAACTTCATCAACCGGTGCATACGTAAAGGGGACGAAAGGCCTAACCGCACGGATACCAAATTTTGGCAAGCGCTTCCGTATGTCAAGAACGTTTCGGAAGCTGTCGGCCGCCTTCTCGCACCACTTGGGGTTGGATTTGCACACAGACCGCAGGCAACCATCAGGCGTCAGCTAATGAAACCAAAAGACCCGCTGCCACGGCTAGAAACGTCTGCAGTCGTTTATCGGATCTGGTGCAGTTGCGGCCAAGGCAACTACGTCGGAGAAACCGGAAGACAGCTCCGAACGAGAATGGCCGAACATGCTGCAGCGGTGCGGAGAAATGACGCCAGCTCTCAAGTTGCGGCTCATTCGACGAGATCCGGCCACACATTCAAATTCGATGAGGCCGAAATTCTCGCAAGAGGTGACAACCGCGTGAGCCGGGAGCTACTGGAATCATGGTTTACTGGCCCTCAGTCCATTAGCAAGTGCAATGACCTTTCATACTCGGTGCCGAGACTTCGCCTAGGCAGAGTAACTGGCCACACGGGGAGCGCACATGTGAACACCTTTCCCAACTCCACGGTCGGTGGGTCAGATGGTAGAGTAATCATCACACCAACATCGAACGCATGTGATGAAATTGCAGCAGTTAACGACGCGAATGTCGGCCATCAAACAATTAGCACACCAAGTGTGGCGATCCCGAATGAAGAGTGGAAATGTGAATGTTCATTGGTATGCGGTAGCATGGCGACTGCGTCCTATAAATACTGCAGCCCCTTGTGCATGAATCACCCGTTTCTGCTTTTTTGTCTCTGATGATGGGTTCGAGCAGGAATCCGAAACGTCAGGCTAATAAACACTTGTCCCGGCGATCGTGTCTGCTTCTTCATACGTAGATCTATTTATCGGATGACTGAAAGCTGTTCCTCTGTCAGATATCAGGGCTGCAGCGAAGGATAAGGCAATTCTCTGTCGTTAGGTTGTCAATCTCGGTGCTTCCATCTGCCTCGGTCTCTCCTCTCTTTTTTAGGCTGTACGCGGGTCCACAAGACAGTCTGACCCGTTCGTAACAGGCAGAGCGAACAGTTATACCGCCAAGTGAATACCTCACTATGCCCTGCAAATGCATCTGATAAACTGGACCAATCGCCTTCTTCTGCTCCTGTTCGGCAGCCCACAAGTCATATCACCGCTAAACTGGTGTTTGACAACACTGCCCGAATTCCAGTTAAAATGCCTCTCCAACCCCTCGCGGTGCAATCGAAGATCATATTAACCTCTTTCCTGCGTCACGGCATGCATTCGATTTTTCGCGAAGCTGGAACCACCTTACGACGGCTACATTCGCGTTGTTTCTTGGGGCAAAGACGTTCTCAATCCAGTGCAGTGAGAGCTAGACCATCTTCGCCGACGACCATATGTTCCACAGGACGGTGAGAGTAGGAACAGCGATTTGTGCGTGTATCAATTTAAAGTGATAGTAGACTTGCACAGCGTCTTCTACACTCTCTACTCTTCCCCTATCTGAGCCCAGCGTAGTGACCAAGTCAAGAAGACCGGAGGTGGGAGGAGGTGCAGGTTGCTTGCACGACAAACTCACGCCCAAGTGTGCCACCACACCTCTTGGTCCGCAACAATACTTGGCCAAAGTCGAGAAAACAAGATTGCAAGAGATCATTAATGGCCTCGTCTTCTACCGTCGGTACGTGGACTATATCTGCTGCCTGGCGGATGGTACCACCGATAACGAGGGGCTTGTCCAAAAGTTCAACAGTGCGCACCCCTCGCTAAAGTTCACTGCAGAGGCCGAGGCAGATAACGAACTTGTCTTTCTCGATGTCCTTCTGCACAGGCAAGAGGATGGGTCTATCCAGCGCAGGGTGTTCCGAAAGAAAACCTGGACGGGACAATACATTGATTTCCACAGTTTTGTTTCCCTAAGCATCAAACGGAATTTAGTCCAGGGATTGGCGGCTAGAGTGAGATGCATCTGCTCACCTGCGAAACACACTTCAGGTGAACGTATACCCTGATGGATTTGTCCTCCAAAATATTGGGGAACTCGCCGAAAAGCCCACTGCTGCGACTGCGGAAAAGAAAGATGTATTCATAAGATTGCCTTTTGTAGGAGACGCAGAGAGCGAACTAGTCAGACGGCGCTTAACTACAGCTATCACGAGGGCATTCCCCGCGGCGAATTTACGCGTATGCTTCGCAAACTCTCCCCTCCTACGTTTGGGAGGTAAAGACAGACTACCCTTGGAGGCCACATCAATGTGCATGTACTCATTCACTTGCTCCTGTGGAGCGGAATACATCGACCGCACAACGAGACGCGTGGTAAAGAGGGTGCGTGAACATATGTCACCTGGCTAGACAGAGGTGAGGCCCGGTAGATTTCGAGTTCCATTCTCGCAGGTTTAATCAATACGAATCACGGAGTCGATGCCAAGGACGCATTTCAGGTTGTCTACCGGACACCAACATGCTCCTCTAAAGGCTTACGCCAACGGATACTAGCAACGTCGGGGGCAGTGGCTATACGGCTAGCGAATCCGGTGTTATGCTGTCAGAAAACCCTGCCACAAGTACTTTCTCTGCCGTGGCCAACGCTACCCCAAGTGATGACGACATACCACCTCAAATCCCTAATTACAGTGATATGTACTCCGTGTACTCAATTCAAGAACATCACTCAAAGACTCTTTTACCCCCTTCCTCTAGCTCTGATGACCAACACCCACCGACCTTGTCATGCGGGCGGCGAGGGGAAAATGATTGTTAATGACTTAATAGCCCTTGAGACATCTGTAAACACTGTTGATTTTGTACATTTTCATTCCTTCATGTAATTGTGTTGGCCTGACGAAGAATTACCGAAAACACGTGTTCGCCAACTTGACTTTTCAAGAAATTTAACCAACGACAAAAGTGGGATGGCGCCACGTGAGTCCGTGACTGAGTCTGCCACCACACCCGAAACGTTGGCGTTCGTTATGGGCGCGCATAATCGATAGCGTCTGCCGGTCGCGAGCGCGGACAGTCTCAAACATGCTGTCCCGCAACCGCAACATCATCTTTCTCCGCCAACACTTCTCTCCTTCTGACTCACCCAGTGTACATCATGCCCAATTTGCCGATGGTTTCGTTAGTCGGGCGTTTTAAACGTGAAGAGGTCGTTCGACTGCGCTTCACACCGCTCTCTATCTGGCCGGCGGTATTGTGTCCAACCCCTTGGCGTGGCGACAGCCACCAAACAATACCCCCACCCCCCAACCTAACAGTTGACTGCTCGCGCCGCCTTCAGCCAGCCGACACCGGGTCGCCGATCGATATTCTGGTTCTCAATGTTTGGTCGCGCACACACGCGGCTTGCGCTCTGACTAAGCTAACAATCAGTGGCTGGCTCTCAAGTGCTTTATCGCCGCCGCTGACTTCTGAGTTGCTCATCCCCACGCGCGTAGCCCAGCATTCACGGCCGTACGGAAGGTTTGACCGGACAGGCGCACAGCACACGCAAGTCTGCTGCAAGCAGGCATCATGGTCAGTTTTGTTCAAGGCCACATTGCGTCAAGGTCACTCACCTTCCCAGTGGGCGGCCCCAGACGCGCTGACCTGCAGACATTCGACCAAATTTAACTCGTTCGTCCACAGAGTCCCAGCCGCTCATGCGTCACTTGAACGCATCACCCCTCAACAAATCAACACACAGTAATTGGACACAATTTCAGACTGCCCCATATGTCTACAAAAGTACCTGCCACTATTGTCTCACAGGACCCTCAGACATGACTGGACGCCGTCAAAATTAGCCCTCCCCCCGCTTCGCCAGCGGCCACTGCTGCCTAAGTGGAAAACTCGGGTTTCCTCATTCCGGTGACTTCTGTCTTCTCCTTAAAAATTGGACTTTGGCCTAATGATTGTAGCCCTTTTTTAACCAACAACAACAATGGGGCTGCAGAGACCCCAATGTGCGCGACGTCTGCCTGCAACCGGTTTTGCCACCGCACCCCGAAATGTTGCGGCAGACAAGGACGTCAAGAAAAGCTGGTTCGTTTTCTTCTTTCTCCACCATTCTAAGTTGCGTGTGCGGGAAGACGGCCTTTATATGATCTTTAAACTTCATCACCTGATCCCGTTCGGAGACGACGAAGATGTCATCTACGTATCGAGCTTAAAATTTCGATCTGTGCTTTCAGAAGACCATCAACTCAGACTGCTTTAGGACTGCCACAGACAAGAGTCCCGGAATCGCCGGATCCACTGGCGAGATTTTCGCCTCCTCGTTGACTGGTCTGTCGAACATGGAGTGCATCTTGACACAGAACTTCAAGAGTTGGAGGATTCGGGTGTGTTTGAGGCGTTTCTTTGTCTCATCGTAAAAGTCCTGTAGGAGTAATTCGATGGTCCCGAGGTCCAGATCCTGCGGAATAGAAGTAAGCAAAGACGTGACATCAAAGGATACCATGACATCACTTTGCATGAGACCTTCTCCTTTAAGTCTCTCCAGGAATTACGTCGACGTGCTGACTGTGGCATCTGAATCAATGGCCAGATATTTAGGATGTCAGAAGAACCACTATGCCAGTCCATAATTTGGAGTACCACTTAGTGACACTTTGGGTCGGAAGGGAGCCCCACTTTTGTCACTTATATGAGACAACACACTCGACCAAAGGCCGTTTCCCGCGACATCGCCTTGCATGGGTCGGTCGGCAATATTGCGCCTTAGTTCTTCACAGCCAAAAGCTTCGCACGGATTTTGCGTGCCAGTTTTTTATGGCAAGCTTTTAACTTTCAGAAAGTAATCTCTCTTGTACAGCACGACAACTGAACGCCTCTTGTCGGCAGGAACGAAGACCAGCTTTTTGTGGGCCTTGAGTTCCTTGTTCGAAATTAGGAAGCATGCTACGCTGTCACCGAGTCATTAGGAGGGACGACACTTGGCGACGAATAAGGTTCTTCGTTTCGCCTATCTTTTCCGTCTGACTGAGGATTAACTCCAGACAAAGGCCAGATGGACGAAGCCAAAGGCATGCCTACTATAAGTAGCAGCACCCACGTTCACTTCATGCCATGGTTGATTGTTAGTCCTCACCGTCATCGTTATCGTCAGGAATTCATTATTATTGTTGAGTCTTGGAGGGTTAATCACTCGACTATTAAACTTGCCGTCGCTGGAAGTGTTGGCCGCCCGCTCTATCACTAAAAGCTTCACCGATGGCGTCTTAAATGTAGTGAATGAAAAATCCAGTGGCAAACCAAACTTCCTTCTGCGGAATTGTGGATCATTCCCACGACTTCGTTTTCAACAGGTGTGGAAATAATTCCGTGTGGCTGGGAATTAGCTCCAAACAATGGCCAGATGGCGAAACGAAGAGCATGCCTACTATAAATAGCAGCAATCACGTTCAGTTCACGCAATGATTCATTGTTATTCTCTACCCGAGCCCGCTATCGCCGTGACTTCATTATCCTTGTTGATTCTCGGCGGGTTAATCACTCGACCATTTAGCTCGCTGTCAGTGGAAATGTTGGCCGCTCGCTCTACAGCAAAAAATCCGTCAACGGCATTTTCGATAAGGCCGATTTAAAACTCTGATGTAAACTAAACCTCCTTCAGAAGAATTGTGAAACTTTCCCACGACTTCATTTTCAACACACGAAGAAATAATGCGCTCATAGTGTTTCGAAAATACATATATATATATATATATATATATATATATATATATATATATATATATATATATATATATAGGCAGAATGATATTACCGACAAAGACAAGGGAGACTGGAATGGCCATTTCTGGCTTATTAGCAGTCGTCAGCCAGCCATACCCAAGCCCGATCGGTGAGCGCCCCCTAACACTATATATATATATATATATATAGTAGGCTCGCATTTAGCGTTCTACACAGCCTAACTGCATGTAGCTTTCACGGAGACGTTTGTAAATGCCAGGAATACGTTGGCTTCTGACGGTAATCTCAGCACTTGAGTGCATGCTTCGATAGCGATTTGTGCTCTACAGGTTGAGTTGCCTGAAATTTTGAAGAGTTTGAAACCGAGAAGAGGGTGTGTGCACACGTCCTGTTTTGTCGACTTGTCACTTCGTGCATCAAACTGAGGTGGGGTGTGTGCGTTCATTGGCCCACTGCGTCTAAAAGGCTGATTGGCCAATTAAGCCAGGTGGTCGCACGAAGACGTAGAATGCTTAATCAACAGCGGCCACCTCAAAGCCTGATTCAACGAGGAGAAATCGACACTTGGTGGGTGTCGAAGCAATGTCGACTTTTACTGACTGGCCCTAAGCTATCTCTTCTGGAAGAGTGGTCTCGGAGTAATTTAAACTCACGCAAAACAGGGCTCTAGGTGTTGTTGGTAGAGTCGAATAATTTAACTGGCTCAACTGTGGAAAACTCAGCAGTCACAGTGGAATTCAAGTCTAAAAGAGTGACGTCGAGGCTTGAGAACAGCCAACGACTTAACTATCTCAGGCAAAATGCCTCGACCGAGAGATTTCAACTCTTTCCTTCTGGGACTGTGCTACACAATATGGGGTCCGCAAAGTCTAGCCAGGGGACTCCCCGCAGCAGCTTCAGGCAGCGGCACAACATCGGCGGAAGACGCGTGTTTGGGCTTGCATCGGGCACTCGAGGTGTCGGTTTGGTAAATAATCACAAAAGGTTTTCCGAAGTAATCAAGTAAAAGCCACAATCCAACAATCGACTGTATGGATGCGCAATTCATTTCTGACGTGATTCCGAGGGTACAGTAGCCTGCTAGACTGGAGTACAGTTACTGATGTAAAGGGCATATACGTTGACATAGGGTTTGAAGACAGTCGTGCCTCGCGTGTTTTTACGCCCCGAGCGCGCTTTCCTCACTGATGGGAGCCTAAAGATCACACTGTCACACCTCCCTCCTCCCCCCAACACACCCACACCAGCCCTGGCATGTTCTCTTCGATGGAATTCGGACTCCCAGCGCACCATGCTGCCTCATCCTACTCAGCTAGCTGCTTCATCATGCATGTTAGGATGCGCCTATCACGATCTACCCCGATCTCACGGACTCGCTTGTTTTTCCGGGCAACTCATCTCCCGTCTCCTAGTCTCCAGGCGCCTGCCTGCTTCTTGTATGAGGATTTTGCGTTGAGCGCGAAAATATCAAATCACAGACGGCCTGTCACCTCGCATCCATTCTCCCGCCACCACCTCCAGACAGTGCAACCCGATTTCCAGGAAAGCAAAACAATAGCCTGCAAGAGCAGTCGTATCTGACTCTTTGTTTTACACACGACTTTGGCAACCAGGAGCCCTCGATATGCGTCAAAATGGGCCCTCGTCATCTGCATTGTTGTTTTCACTTAGTTCTGTTCTGAGTTCGCCGTCGCTGGAAATGTTGGCCGCCCGCTCTATCAGTAAAAGCTTCGCTGAAGGGGTCTTAGATGTAGCGAATGAAAAATTCACTGGCAAACCAAACTTCCTTCTGCAGAATTGTGGATCTTACCCACGACTACACTTTCAAAAGACGTGGGAAATAATCCGCGCATGGTGTTTCGAATATATATACAGTAGGCTCTCATGTATCATTCTACACAGCCAGCCTGCCTGTTCACATGCCCCTTTAATGTAGACGTTTGTAAATGCCAGGTATACGTAGGCCTCTGACATTAATCTCAGCACTTGAGTGCATGATTCGAGGACAATTTATGCTTTGTAAACTGTGCCGTCTGAAATTTCGAAATGAAGAGAGTTTGAAACCGAGACGAGGGTACGTGCCCACGTCGCGTTATTTCGAGTTGTCATTTTGGGCATCACGCCGAGGTGGGATGTGTGCGTTCATTGGCCCGCAGCGTCTAAAAGGCTGATTGGCCAATTAAGCCAGGTGGTCGCACGAAGCCGTAGAATGCTGAATCAACAACGGCCACCTCAAGGCCTGATTCGACGAATGAGAAATCATCGAGGCAACGACGACTTTTAATGACTGGCCCTAAGCTATCTCTTCTGGAAGAGTGGCCTAGGAGTAATTTAAACTCACGCAAAACAGGGTTCTAGGTGTTGTTGACAGATTCGAATAATGCAACTGGCTCAACTGTGGAAAACTCAGCAGGCACAGCGGAATTCGGTGAAATGAATTTTAGCTTTTTTCATACTGTGGCTGTGCTACGCCACATGGAATCCGCCAATTCTAGCCTGGGGGGACCCACTAATGAGCCGAACCACGCGTAACAGCTCCAGGCAGTGACACAACATAGGCGAAACACACGTGTCTTGGCTTATATATACAGTGGATGGCGTAACTCATGAAATGTCGAGATCGGTATTTGAGTAGGTGGGACGGCATATATTTTTTGTGGTTATTCTTGTTTTTAGAATTGATTGGAATCTCAAAACGCCCTTTTCTAAAGACAAGGTCATGTTAGTTCAGCTTTAGTGAGGAGAAACGGACCAAAATTAGGCAAATTTTGACGTCTCCGGATATCCACTTAATTTCTTATTCTAATAAGTATCCCATATTAAAACCTCCTATTTGCACGCGTTGCGTTATAAAAGAACCTTCGTATAACACAAAAAGTATCAAAGACTGCCACTGGGGGATTGGAGACTGTGATTTTTCTTTAATGGAAGTCAGATCAAGTATGGAAAAACAAATTATTCTCATGAATCAAGAAGCAATTTGCTCTTTACAAATTCTATTTCTCAAGACTGCAACGTTTTACATCGTTAAACTAAGTTGGAAGTATGCGTTTTACTACACCGGGAACTAGTAGGCGTAAACACGTATATATAGATTGTGCGCTATATGCTGCCACTTTTCGTTGCCAGCCCGTACAGAAGAGATTTCGAAACGGTTCCTATCGGAAGTTGACTTTGAGCGGATACGAAAATTGGCAGCCGAAGGGCTGCCGCGTGTGTCGTTAGCTAGTATTTTCAATATCAGCAAGGTGGGCCAAAACGGTCCACAAGCCAGCAAGACGCCGATTTCGTTCGTCGGACACTGAAAAGGTATCATTATATGCCCCTTAAGGCTATTTACAGGGAACACCTGCCAATGGTTTCTTTGCGTATAATTAGAAAAAGAATGAGAGTTCGGTCTCCATCGGCAAAACGTCATGACAAAGTCAATTTTAAGTAGGAAACTTATTAGAGAACGTTTTTTGTTTGCTCAAAAATATATCGATCACAGACTTTCCTTCTGGAATCGTAATTTACTTTGGTGATGAGGTCTTATTTTTAGACAAGTCTCCGAAGTCGGCCCAGGTGGTCATATGTGGAAAGAACTTTCCACGAGAGCACACTATATCAACACTAGCATTCAAGAACTGTCGACGCCTGATGGTTCGGATGTCCATCAAATTCGGAGAGCTACCTGTCTGACGTTCAACAGCGGGATGATAAATAGAAAGGTGTTCATCAGCATCGTAAAGGATGCCATCGGTCATAGCGGCATTGATCGACGTCGAACGCACATCG